CTAGGATCTCTCTGTGCTGGCTCACTCCTCACTCCAAACAGAACATTAATTCTGATGGTCTTGCTTCTACTATTCCACCTACAGGGTGACCGTGTGACATTTATCATTTAAGTCAGGGATCTGTGTGCGTGCACTACTGATAATTACCTTGAGACAACAGGTGTAAACCAGGATAATGTAAACCTGAGCAAGCCAGGATATGTGGTCACGTTTGCACTACATCAAATTCTTCAGAAAAACTACATTTACAGGGGTTCAGTAAGTAGCGATCTTATTTCCTGCTCAAGAGAGGGCTTGGAGAAGCCAGTCCCTTTTCGGGGAGTGGGCATCACTCTTGCCTTGCTCCCTCCCAGCTCATGCTAGTATCACTGTGGAATTTGACCATTTCTAGTCCCACTCTCTGCCATACTTACCTGAGAAATACAATCAGGAAGAAGTGATCCAAGAACTAGATGTCACTTTCTTATAAAAAAAGACATCTGGTTAGAAGATGTGACACCTTTTCTTCACAAGTTATAACAAACAGATCAATCACTAGCCTCTGTTATTCTGAAGAAATAGTTGTATGCTTCCTTTTGGACCACTTTACATTTCTTCTCCAAAACAGTGATATATATGTATCTCTCTCTCTTCCACACACACACACCTTTTTTTTTTTTAAATTCTCACAAAAAAAAAAAAAAAAAAAAAAGAAAGAAAAGAAAAAGCTGAAAGCTCCAAGCATAAGACAAATTAAAAGTGAAATCCCACTGGGGACTTCTAAGGGTATAGAGCTTAAAGCAAATTAAAAAAAAAAAAAAAAAAAAAAGGATTTCCTGGGATTTACCAGGGTGGGTTGGAACTAAGTTATGGAGTTCCTGGGTTGCCTTTAACCACTCCAATGAGCTGACTTATCTTTCCTGCTGCCCTGTTAAAATATAAAGACCTGATAATTGATTACAACACTAACCGTGTGTAATAGAATAAAGAACATTTCTACCTTTCCTTTCTATCAGTTCATACTTTATCATCTCAGAAAGGAAGCTAGACATGGATGATATTGTCTTAGCTGGCCTTGGACCATCAAAAGAGCAAATACAGTTGCCTTATTTCCTATTATTCTCCCTGATTTTTTTTTCACTAATTTGGTACTAGCTATAACCACACATATACCAGAAAGAAAGAAAGAAGAAAAGGAAGGAAAAAGGAAAGAAAAGAAAAAAATGGAAGGGAGGGAGAGAGAGAAAGGAAGGAAGAAAGATTGCATAACGTTCACTTAATATTGTGACTTTTAGGAGAAATTTTTCAATAGTAATGAAAAACATATGAGTCAATGACCAACTATTAGTGAATTTTATTTCTGTTCTTCATGGAAAAGCAATGCAGCTTTCAAATATCCAAGCTTTCTTTACTGGTTGAGAAGTAGACATATATAAAGTTCTGCATTCGTCTGTGGAGCTCTCTACAATTCCTTTTTTTTTTTTTTTTTTTAACAACTCCCATCTTATATTGAGCCTTTCAACTTTCCCCACTGTGGGACAGTATTGGAACTTTAAAAGCTCCCTTCCCCCAAATAGAGCAGAATCCAATATAATTCAAAAGCATGAAAGAGAAATAGTCCAAAGCAAACATTTGTTTTGATAAGTGACCAGAGAAAATTTAAAGTAATATTTAAAGGAAAGTTGCAAACTATTTATTATTAAAGATGGGTGATTCATTATTAGGCAAAAATTAAACAGAAAAATACGTAAAGGATAAAATGAGATCCAAGTTGAATATAGGTCAGTAAGATAGATCTCTTGTATCTTTTTTCAATAGCTAATATTTGAGTCTGTCATATCATACTTTATAAAGTTATGAAGGCAAATATGCCAAGGATACTGCTCTCAGTGATCTTTCAGTCAAAGACAGGAAATGAGGTAAACAGCATAATATCCATGACATCTAAAAGAGTACAGCACTCTTACCTTTCCTTATTAAATGGCTGTCATGAGCTTAAGTGACTCTATATTGGTACAGTGTTTAAAACTGCCTAATAGGGGCACCTGGGTGGCTCAGTGGGTTAAATAAAGCCTCTGCCTTTGGCTCAGGTCATGGTCCCGGGGTCCTGGGATCGAGCCCCGCATTGGGCTCTCTGCTCAGCAGGGAACATGCTTCCCCCTCTCTCTCTGCTTCTCTGCCTACTTGTGACCTCTGTCTGTTAAATAAAAAAATAAATAGAATCTTAAAAAAAAAAAAAAACCTCTCTGATACAGAGTGGTAAACACTATACAAATACTTGTTAATTTAAGTCAATAAATAAAGACATACAGTATGTGTGCTGTAAAATAGGAACAGGCAAATATGACATACACAAATTGTAGATTAATAACAAGTGGATGAAAAGATCCAGGAAGATTTCATAAAGAAGAGATATATAAGGGATGGAAAACTGACAGCAGAACTTAGTAAAGTTACTAAAACAAAAGGAAACACCATTAACCCAGACATGAACTTGAGATAAATTTGTAAAATCATACATAGACACAGGAAATGAATATAGCTTGCAAGATTTGGCTTTAGAAGTGAGTTAGGCAGTAATAGGATGTAGAGGATACTTTTGTAATATTTGTTAGTATTGTAATATTTGGTGACACTTAAAGGGAGATAAATCCTTTTGGAAGTAATCAGCCAGTCTTAACCAGAGTCAAATGTGTAGCTATGTATTGGTCACAGAGAACTTTCATACATGACTTTAGCAACGGTTAATATTGCTGCCGCGCTATTCTTATAAGATAGATTCCTTATAGAATAAGGAATACTTATTTTATAAGAGATATTATATACTTATTTTATGAGGAACAGCTATCAATCTTTTTTTTTTCTTTTTTTGCATTTAAATTAGCATGTTTAGTCTTAAAGCTGTGGACTACAGAATGGCCAATCTGTTTAGCCAACAGTTTCTTAGAATGATCCCCTCTCTCACTCCTTTCCACATCAAGTTTATGAAAAAACATGTGATGGAGAATAAAGGGTCAACTCTAATTTCTTCTCTTAGAGATGAATTTCCCTATGTCCTATCTCCAGCTCAGACTTTCTCTGCTGGTTGATTGGGAACTGACTGAGGGCAGAGTCCATTAACATCTGTCCTTGTGGCTACAGAATCTAGTCCAGCCTCATAGAGTAAATCCTTAATGAACTGTGGTTTGGGTCGGCTTGATTGGATTAGATTGGGTTGGTTTGGATTGGATCCAAGTGAATAAGAAGTTAAACATTTATCTTTTTCTTATAATTTTTAAAACAATTTATTATTTGGATGTAGAGTGAAAATATGTTTTTATTTATTATATATCTTAAATGGTTCCTCTCTATCATCAGTTATTACAAACTTCTTTTTCTGTAGACTACTGTAAACAGCCTGCATCCAACCGAATAGATCTGATTAGAAAACTAAAAATGAATTCATCATGGTAGGCTGATAAATTATAATGAATGAATTCCATCAAGGGGTATTACTTAAAGTAAAACTAATTGAAAGTGAAAAGCTTTAAATAAACCCTGTTTAAAGATAGCTCATCATGTAAATGTTGTTTAAATCTTGTTGTATCACAAATCTAGAGACACAGATAGCCTTCTTGTAGAAGAAATAAATGAGACTTTCCATGTAATTAGTTCACTTTAAAAGACAGGAAAAACCCTAACTTTCCATACATCAAACTGATAGAATAACTGGGTACATTTACATATTTACATCATGGATACAGATCTTGAAATGTAAATAATATGCCACATTGAGTTGCTAAACAACTCTTTCTATCAGGTAGCAAAGTTTTACCTTAAAAGGACAGTCTTACAATAAAGGAATGCGCTGCAAACTCCTGATTTTTAACCAATGCTATTTAAATCCACACACTTTGAATGAATGAAAGTACTAATAGTTTCTGGTAAATGAACAGGTCCGTGTAGCTGTGTCATTTTATTCATTCACTTACTGTATATAACACAATTAAAAAGTGGTTTAGAGGTAAGGTAGCAAAGGTGAGAACTTTCACATTTTATATCTTTCTAGTTACTTATTATCTCACACAATGATTGGGAAAGTCTCACTGAAAATCACATTTGGCCTAAGACAAAATAGAACATATTACTTATAACTGAAGACATTTCTTAAGGGTTTTTCAGATATGTAATTCAACATAGAGTGTCTAGAATCTGCATGGTTATGCTTTTAGCTCTCATGTATTGATAAAATTTGTTCTCTATGTGGTAGCTAATACTCGGGGGGTGGGGATGGGGAGAAGTGTATGTCCTTTCTTCTGATTGATTCTCCTTTTGCTTTTTTCTATCTCAGTGGATATAACTGAGGACTATTCTGTTGAGCTGTTGCAATTAAGTCATAAGAGAGAAACAAAGTCTTTCTCTTCCAGACATTTTAAGACCTTGGAGCCTATGAAGAAATGAGGATTATTTTTCCAAACATAAAACAACAGGATAGGCCAGACATAAAGGGGTACATACCAAATGCTTTTATTTATGTCACATTCAGAAGCAGACACAACTAATGTTTGGTCCTGTTAAGATAGTGGTTACTTACCCTTGGGGTCAGGCTTCTGGGATACTGGTAAATGGTGTGTTTCTGGATGTGGATGCTGGTTACCTGAATGGGTTCAGTTTGTAAATATTCACTAGCTATTCATTTATCCTTAGGGTATATGCTATAACTTAATAAAAAGCCCAACTTAGCATAAATAAAACAACAGAAACAAAAAGCATTCAGATTTCCTTTTCCTCATTTCAATAGTATATTCTAAGTATATTCTAAAGGGGCTCATATTAGTTACAAACCACAATAGTTGTGTTGTCCCAAATCATAAGCCTGTTTAGCAGCATAACCAGCATTTTGGATCGTCTGCTTCCATATCTTGTGATTTATTTTTTTCCCCAGTCACAAGCTGTGCTAACCTCTGAGGCCCTTGACAGCCCGATGGTGGGAAGCCTGTTAACCTTTCTCTGTGTACTAACATTGTTTGCCATGTTAACAGGCGAGTTGTGTGAGGAGAAGCTGGACTTCTGTGCCCAGGACCTAAATCCCTGCCAACACGACTCCAAGTGCATCCTGATGCCAAAGGGATTCAAGTAAGTCAGAGCTGTCCTGGGGCTTTCAATGAGGGGGTAGGAGATGGGGGTGGGCGCCTGTCTTCCTCACCTTCCTTTCAAGCCCTCACTTCACACTTTTGCTCAGGATGAAAGGGACACCCTCCATTGTCAGTGGCATTTTTATAAATGTTTCTATACAGCATGGACTTTTTTAGTTCAGGAAAGAAAATAAAAGACGGCATTTCCATTTGTTTCCTGGCTCTTCCTGGGAAGTCATGCATGAAATAAAGTAGACTTTGACTATATTTACTTAAATGTATTTGCAGGCCAAATAATTTTGTAATATCTACTAGGTGCTTTATTATCTGAATATAAGTTTGTGGTAAGTAGGGAGTTAATTGAATGTAACTGAAATTTTTTTTTCTTTTTCTTTTTCTTTTTTTTTTTTTTTTTTCTTTTTTTGGTCTGCACCAATTATTAACTATCCAAGGTGAGGAAGATGGAGTGACCGTATGTCCCAGAATGCCTGGGGACAGTCCCAGTTTGTGCTTGTTGTCTCAGCATTGTTATTAATAGTACTCCTTTCACCTTATGTTTGTCTTTTGTGGGATGATAAAGCAGACAGTCATTCTAGATAAAGGGTTCCCTCAAGTGAACCCAGAACTTTAAAATTACTTCTTTTCTTCCTCAGTAATCTTCCTGAAATATGTTTGGTATCAAATTAAATTATTCCTTTGCCACAGTCTTGAAATAGTTTGAGGGTCTATCAACAGCAACTTCTCTTCTTAAAATGGACAGTAGTTTAGAGATCATCTGGTCCAAATTCTTCATTTTAAACATGAGGAAAACAGGACCCAGACAGGTTGGTGGCTGTCCAAAGATCTCAAGGTTATTCATTGGCAGAGGTGGGAGCTGGGTTTCCTATTTCCCAGTTGAGTGATTTTTCAAATACAGGTTACCTCTAAGATGTCTTGTAGTTTATTAACATTACAGTTGGTTTGTTACAGAAGGTAAGTTGGATTCTCAGGAACGACACAGTTGGGTTCAAGAGCAGGGCTGTGCTTGTATCAGGCAAGTAGCAAATAGAATGATTTGTTCTTTTACCCAGTTATTGACTGAGCACCTGCCATGGGTCAGAACACATGGTAATACCACCATCTTTTGTAGTGTTTTATAGCTACTCACATTCACATACATTATCATCTCAGAAATGACTTCGGCATAATTGCCATAGGATTCAAAGAATTAAAAATTGCTGAAGTGGGGAACAGTTTTATAAGATGGGAATTGAGCTGGAACTCTAACATTTTGCTAGCTGTCCACAGATATCAGATACTCTAATTTGAATGGGAGGTAGGGTCAGTATCTCCAGAACTGCCTTCCAAAAAATCAGTCTGAATAAAATGCTTGTTCTCCTTTTATTTACATATTTTTATTCACTGTGGCTTAAAATTTTAGAATATGCAAACGCAGTTTTAGGATATAAACATACAGGGGCACCTGGGCGGCTCAGTCAGTTAAGTACCCAACTCTTGGTTTCGGCTCAGGTCATGGTCTCCCAATGGTAGGATCGAGCCCCGCATCAGGCTCTGCACTCAGCACGGAGTCTGCTTCAGATTCTCTCTCCCTCCCCCTCCTGCTATCTCTCTCTTAAAATTTATTTAAATCTTTAAAATCTTTAAAAAGAAGAATATACAAATACAGTTCAGTACCCACTGATTCCATTTGATACCTTATTGAAAAAGAAAAGAATATTCTTTGATTTTACTTTTTGTTATATTTTAGTTTACAATCCAATGCAAAAACCAGAGGTCTTTTTTTTTTTTAAGATTTTTTATTTATTTATTTGACAGAGAGAGATCACAAGTAGATGGAGAGGCAGGCAGAGAGAGAGAGAGAAAGAGAGAGGGAAGCAGGCTCCCTGCTGAGCAGAGAGCCCGATGCAGGACTCTATCCCAGGACCCTGAGATCATGACCTGAGCCGAAGGCAGCAGCTTAACCCACTGAGCCACCCAGGTGCCCAAAAACCAGAGGTCTTATTGAAATCTTCATTTATGCAAGATTCTGCATTGCATCCTGTTCATGCAAGTACTGTACATGAATTATTTTAACTCCTAATGTCTTTGATCTGCCCACATTGAATTTAGCAAAATGAAAATCCACCACTTAAAAAAAAAAAAAAAGAAAGAAAGAAAGAAAGAAAAGCCACCATTGACATACGTAACAAATATCATTTCTCAAAGAAATTTATCAGGAAAGCGATGGTTCCAGAACTGCTTATCTGCCTGGCATGTTTCACAGGACTTTGCATATTGTGATTCTAAGATAAAGAATTTGTGGGACTTAATGGAAACCATTAAAAAATGAGGGGGTTGGTCTTCAAAAAGACTACTCCTACATTCAGTATCTTCTCTTACCGTCAATTAAATTAAACACAGAGAAGTGCATCCTCCTGGCTTATGGGCTAGCTGATTTGGGCACCCATTGTTTTCTACCGTAATTCATGAACTTGTTTTATGGCTGTATATAGTTTAGCAGAAAGCTGGGGAAGTCATGGTGTACGCCGTTCCTCTCATATTGTAAACAATTGCACATTGTGAGATATAAGGGAGTTGGAGGGAGTTGCAAAAAGAAAATGGACTTAAAAACCCAAACTATATAAAACTACTAAAGAAAACCTCTTCTGACAGATGTTGTTTGGACAAACCCTATTGTTTCTTCGACTTCATTTTCTTATTACTAAGCTAATAGAGCTGGTTTTACTTTTCTTGCTTTATTATATACCTCATAAATCTCCTAAATTGCTTTGAGATATTTTTAGACCATGACATGCCATAGGCAGTATTTTCAAGCATGCGTCTTCCTTAGTCAGCTGTTGGGCTTCTTCGCTAAATAGTTTATAGTCTTTGCTTTTTTCCTCACTCCTTGGGAGATAATAGAGTTGAGGGAGTGGAATAGGTTTTATTGATAATACAAACCTTAAGGAATCCTTAATTAAATTTTTTCTTCAGTTTTGTAATTTGATCTGAGGAGCAAGGAAAGACCAAAAAAAAAAAAAAAAAAAAAGTTGGTCATAACAAGTACTAATGGGCTTGAAAAATAGTATTTGTAGAGAAAAGAATATAAAATAGCTCTTAGCCACTGGTGGTGAGTGTGTGGTTCTCTTATCTTTTACTTTGATTTCTTTTCTCAGATAAATAATTCAGAGTGTTTCAAAGCATTTCTTCTTTCTTTTAATGCCTGGCATTTCAGTGGTTCTGCTCACATTAACATTGATGCAAGCTCTCTCCCCAGACTTTGTCCATCTATTTGAGGATGTATATGGCCACTTAAGATCCATTTAACTTCAGATGTGTTGTTTACTTTGCTTTGTTATGATTTAGTATTAAAACCACTGGCTCTAGAGCAAGCATGCGTCTGCAGTGATCTCATTTTATTTCCTAATTCATACACACAGAGCTGAAAGTCTGTTCTCCCTAGAGGTTCTGTACCCCCATTTATTTTAATTCATCAACCCTTCAGTAACTCTTAAATTCTGATTTTACATTTTTCAGAGAAAACCCTTGGTGTTCAATAATGTCCACATTCACTTGGGCATTTTTAATTACCCTCATTCATTTAAATTCTCGTGGCTTTGAAATAGAAAACTGGAAAATTAGTCAAGACTAAACCACAAAGACTTTTATAGAGTTATGAAGGCTTAATAGAATTATTGTTTAAATTCTTACCAGTTATTGATCATGCATTATATATCAAGCCACTATACTGAGTCTTTTACAGCTAGTGTTTTTATTTAATCTTTTAACAAACCCATGAGATGGAAATTATTTTGTACTGTGATGAAGACACAAACACCTAGGAAGTTTAAGTAAATTAGTCAAGATTGCATACATGTAGAGATGAATCTGGGATGCAAATCCAGTTCTGTGTAACTGCAAAGTCCAAATTCTATAAAGCTAAATAAACTGTAGGTTCCTGGTTTGTTTGTCTTTCTAACTCAGTGAGCCCTCTCTTAAAACCCCAAACAGAAATGCTCATGGAAGCCCAGTGTGTAAAATTAATGAATCACAACCGGAGAGTGTTGCAGGAGAAAGGAGGGAAGCAGGAAGCTGCCAAAAGCCTCCTTCCCATGCTCTTCAGAGCATGCTTTGAAAACCACTGCACCTGCCACACTGCTTTTTCCTCTAGCAGCTTTTGAGTCCTTCATCCTTCCGTGGTCAGAAATCCGGACCCTCTTTGCAGATTGCTTGGGTTTCCTACCTGGCTGTGGCACTTACTAGTTGAATGCCCTTGGATAAGGTCCTTAAACCAGTTTGTCCTTCAGCTCCCTCACCTGTTCAGTGAAGTAGTAGACTCTGGAGAAGGAGTCAGTGAATCCAGGGCTCTGGAGAAGGATTCTGTGAATCCATATATGCCCAGTGGTCAGAAGAGGGCATGGCAAGGAGGGCATGCTCCAAGAATGCCATGTGTATATGACCCCTGGCTCTTCACCGTCAGTGCGGCTGAGACCCCATCTTACCTTGTGCCACCACAGTGAACAAACAGGCAAAGAGTTGTTGGTGGAATTGGCCCCAGCAATTAATTTTTTTTTTTTTTTTTTTTTTTTTAGATTTTTTATTTATTTCACAGAAGGAGACAGCGAGAGAGCGAGCACAAGCAGGGAGAGAGGGAGAGGGAGAAGGGGAAGCAGGCTTCCTGCTGAGCAAGGAGCCCGATGCGGGGCTCTATCCCAGGACCCCAGGATCATGACCTGAGCTGAAGGCAGATGCTCAACAACTGAGCCACCCAGGCGCCCCTCTTTTTTTTTTTTTTTTTTTTTTTTTAATCAGTTTCCCTGTCCTACTCCATTAGGTCAGCCCTGCTCTGCCATAATGATTGTCTGGATTCATTATGAATTAGGGTCTCCAATGTTGACATCATTTTTTTTCATAAAATTCTATTTTATTCCAATATATCCCTTTCCTGTGAGAAAACAAAAATGTTTTTAAAAATTTAAATTTAAAAAATTATTTTTAAAATATGTTTCATATTCTTAGTAAATTTTACAATATAGCAATTTTTTTGGTCTCCACTGCTGAAAGGAAGCAGAACAATGAAAACAGAGGACACCTAAGCAAAAATAGTGGGGACAGAGGGAGGGAGGGGAGAGACGATAGAGGAGGGAAAGGAGAGGAAGCGAAGGAAGATGGAGAAGGGGGGAAGGAAGAAAGGAAGAGGGAGGAAGGAAGTAGGAAGTCAAACATGATAAGGAGAAGAAAAGAAGAAAGGATGGGTGGGAAGGAGGAGGGTATAGTTCCATGCTCACTGGGATTGTGGAGGCTCACGATAATCAGAGTCCTTACCATCCCCTTACAGATCATGTTGAGAAATCATGGAATAACTGTTTTCTAGGCCTCCATTAATTTGGGAGCTCTATGAGCCTGTTCCATACGAGTTTTCCACTTTTTGCTTCCATCGTCACATCCTTCTCTTGAAGTGTAGTTGACACACAATGCTACAGTGGTTTTAGGTGTACTCAATACGTTTGCAAAGACAGTGCCAACTTTTTTCTAGGTGAAATGCAACCATTTTCCTTACTTTGGCTCAGTTGGGTGTGAAACTGTTAATGTGCTTGCTCAAACAGGTGCGACTGCACACCAGGGTACGTGGGCGAACACTGCGACATTGACTTTGACGACTGCCAAGATCACAAGTGTAAAAACGGGGCCCACTGCACAGATGCTGTGAACGGCTACACGTGCATTTGCCCTGAAGGTTACAGGTAAACGTAGAAACAGAGTTTCGTATTTGGAGTTCTGTCCTGCAGAAAGGCTTCAACTCATCTTGGCAACTAAGTGAAAACAATGTATTGTTGCTGTTTTCTTTAGCGGCTTGTTCTGTGAATTTTCTCCACCCATGGTCCTCCCCCGAACCAGCCCCTGTGATAACTTTGATTGTCAGAATGGAGCTCAGTGCATCATCAGGATAAACGAGCCCATCTGCCAGTGTTTGCCGGGTTACCAGGGAGAGAAGTGTGAAAAGCTGGTCAGCGTGAATTTTGTCAACAAAGAGTCTTATCTTCAAATTCCTTCAGCCAAGGTCCGGCCTCAAACGAACATCACCCTACAGGTAAGCCGTGTCCCGGGAGTGAGAGCTGACTTCATCCTAAGCCACCTTCAACTTCAAATCTTCAACATCCATGGTAGTTCATGAGTGATTCTCTTTCTTAAAGAGACAGTTAACGTCCTCATAACACAAAGACAGAAAATGCTCTCTTTGTGAAAATCTTTAGTCATTCTCTCCAACATTTGTATTTTTTGAAACTAAATGGGAACCAGGTATTTTTATTCACTACTTGATTATGAAACAGAGAAAAAGGAGAGAGAGAACAACAAAACATGTTTTGTGCTCTAGTGAAGGCATTTTATTTATTTTTAGGACTCCAAGTTCAGGGTCTTTTCTTAGGAAAGCTGCAGGTGAGGAGAGCACAGGTGACATCACACACCTTGATAAAATATTCAGCGAGTGCCTTTTAATTCCTTACCTCAAAACCTTTAAGAAGCAACATGAGAGTGCCTAGTGGCTCAGTTGGTTAAGTGTCTGCCTTTGGCTCAGGTCATGATCCCAGGGTCCTGGGATGGAGCCCTATATCAGGCTTCCTGCTCAGCAGGGATCCTGCTTCTCCCTCTGTCCACCTCCCAGCTTTTGTTCTCTCTCTGGCTCATTCTCTTTCTTTCTCAAATAAATAAAAAATTAAAAAAAAAAAAAAAAGAAGTGACATGAAATGAACAAATTCAAATGTTATTGTAAGACTTTTAACCATGTCACCTTGTCCCTTTAAGCAAGTCAGTCGGACCCTCGCGGAACAGGTGAGACTAGATGAGGGTTTATGAATTGAGGACACATGGGGCACACTGGGGCTGTGTGTTTATCTGATAAGGAAACTATTTTAATGTATTTTGAATTCAAATGATTTTAGCTGATTTCTAGAAGATGCCGCTCCTTATTTGGCTTATCCTGACACTCCAGTGAGGGCAGGAGCCCTTCCAGCCATGAGGAATAGGACTCGGGAAGTCAAGCAGGCCTTCTTTAAAAAGCCCTCCTCCCTCTCTTCCAGCGTTTTCCTTACTGGACTGTTACAAGAAGTACCTAGTGGGGTTCGGGCGTAAGACCTAATTTTTACCAAATTGATTCTTTAAAAGCCCAAAAAGGCCAAAAAGCAAGAGGAAAAAAAACAGAGATTTTTTTTTTTTTCCCATTTGTGCCCTGTGAAGAATAGGAGCAAAAAGACCAAGTAAATGAAAACCTCCAGCAGAGAAAGTTTTAAGTATGTCCCATGGTGTTGACTTAAGTGTTACTGGTTTTAATTAATTCTTTACAAATTTATTTGCATCACAATAATTTAGGAACAGGTGACCTTCCAAGTCATCACCTCCATGTGCCTTGCACTATTACTTTCTCACAGCCATAAGGAAAAAATAAACTGGAGTAAAAATTGCACTGAGCAGTCTTGCTTCTGTTTGGTGACGTATATGCAGATGACTGTGCCTCCTACTAATGTCAGGGTTACTTCCTACCAGATTGCCACAGATGAAGACAGCGGGATCCTCCTGTATAAGGGTGACAAGGACCATATTGCCGTCGAACTGTACCGGGGACGGGTCCGTGCCAGCTATGACACCGGCTCTCACCCGGCTTCTGCCATTTACAGGTGAAGGTCTCTCAGTTACTGGTAAAGGTGAAAAGAGTGGTTTGGTGAAAAGCTGTTACTTCTCTATTATTCTGTAATGGTGAGCAGAGGGAATAATTGGGCCACGGCAGCCGTTATGATAAGTGCATTACTTAGGAGCCTGGCAGGAACAGATGTCATGCTCAAATTGGATGATAGAGGAGAGATTCTCAAGGGGACTTCTTATAAAGATTGTTAGAGAGCACACAGTAACTGCGGGCCAGTAAAGAGGGATACAGCTACTCCCCCCTATGCTTGAAGGGGTGAGTGGGGACAGCAGTTACGGAAATCCATGCTCAGAATTGGACTGGTAGCTCAGACTGCCTGGAAGCAGCTGTGACCTTCAATGAAAGGATGAAGTCAGTCCTCAGAGAAAGCACCAGGGTTTTAAATATCCAACCTCGCTCTTCTTCTGCCCGACAATCCCCAACCCCAGCTCCCCCTTTGACCAAATCGGATTCCAGGAAAGAAGCAATCTACTGATAACAATAATATAGTTTGTTCGTGAGCCTCCCAGGGCTGAGAGCAGGGTGAAGACAGGTGGAGAGTAGCTCTAGAGAAGAAAACGCAAGATACTCAGCACAGTGAGCCATTTAACATTACCTTTCATGCAAGACATATTTACTGAGCACCAGCTATGTGCCAGGCTCGGATCCAAGCTTTAAAGAACAAAGCCCTTTCTCTTAGGGAGATTACACAGAAGATACCAATGTACACATACAATAAGAGATTGGTAATGTTATTTAATTTGTAAGTGTTCTAATAATGTAATGAGATTGATGATATTTTGTAGTTATGAAAGAATTGGTATTCATGGGGCATAAGTCCTGCTGGAAATGTGCTTTTTGCATAAGATTTACCTTCCAAGGCCTCTGTTGGATCTCAACACCGATTCACTATAGTCTTACAGAGAAGTTAACTTATCTTACAGACAAGTCTACTTATCCATAAGTAGAAATTAAATGCCACCAGTTAAAACAAGGTCATAAAGTCATACACAGTTTCTTTTCAGACAGGTAGCTTAAATGAACTAATCAGGGCAGTTACCAGAGAAAAATATGTTCTCATCATTTGACTCTTGAAAAGGTCTAACTTTTTAAAGTTACATTATAACTTCTATTATAAACAGCCTTGAGGTTGGTAACATAATAGCGTTTGTGTCTGGAGTGAACTAAAAGCAAACTTTTGTCAAAACAGGGCCAGACTTCATCCACCCAGTTCTCCCTGAGTGTTGCCATGGGAAAATGTAGGCCCCGGTTTTATTAGAACTCTTATTTTTCAAGGAAAGGCATAAACCTGGATTTTTTTTTTTAAATATAAAGTATCCCATCCTTAAAGTATTGATTCACTTTTTTTTTTTTTTTTTTTTTTAAATACCATATGTGGTGAACAAATGCATCTGTAAGGCAACCATGATTGGCAACAAATTTCGGGGCATTGATTGGGACATGATGTTGGAGAAATTGGCCTCTCTATTTTTTTTTATTTTTTTTAAGATTTTATTTATTTATTTGACAGAGATCTCAAGTAGGTAGAGAGGCAGGCAGAGAGAGTGAGAGGGAAGCAGGCTCCCTGCCGAGCAGAGAGCCTGATGCGGGACTTGATCCCAGGACCCTGAATTCATGACCTGAGCCAAAGGCAGCAGCTTAAACCACTGAGCCATCCAGGTGCCCCTGGCCTCTATATTTTTGACGTATGTTTTGATGAGCTTCAAAAGCTTTCACATCCTATTTGAGCCTTCATAACAGTTGCAGGAAAGTTGATGCCAATTGTAGCCAGGAATGGAGTTCAGTGAGTCTTTTTGGTGGTGAGCTAACCCACTTGGGAATATTTAGAGTATGCAAACAAACGCATAATTACTGGTTTCCAAAGGCAATATGAATTTCATCTCCAAATGGCGATGAATTAATGCCAACATTTTAGATATTGTTAGGCCTTAAATTATGTAGCCTCAGTTTGTTTCAGCCCATCAGAAAGTTTCAGAATATTGTTTTTGTGCTTCATTTTTTTTTTTTAATTTTCTCTTTTATTCTAGCGTATGCTACGAAAGAACATAGAACTCTCAGAAGCCATAGTGAAGTTTCTTGAGATTGGCTTATTAAAGTTAGTGTTCACATAAAATATATTTAAAATGTTTCTAGATATGTTGTAGAAACCCATGTGATTATATATCATAATGAGAATTTTACCACAAAGAACTTTGAGTTTATGTTCTTACTATTTTTGCCTAACAAAAAGTAGAGCATACCCTGGGACATTTACCAAAAAAGAATAATTTCACATGGTACACTTTTCATTGTGAACCAGAAGTCCACTTCTCTGCTTGTAGATTATGTAATGAAGACACTTGTGAGTTCCAAGAAAAACAGTTTTCATTTAACTCTTGCTTTTTGGTTTATGGCATGAAGACCAAGAAAAGTCATCGTATTATTTTTAAGTAAAATAAAAGCAGTAATTACCCAGGATTCAGGTAGAGAGATGATTGATTGATAATTGATTATGTATATAATATGTACATATTAGATATATATGAATATATTCATATACCATTATGGAATAGAAAAATGCTTCTGTGAAATAGAAACTATAGAGGACAAATTATTTCAGCACACTAGAAAATTTAATATTTAACACGTAAAAAAATATAGTGACTAAGAAATCAGTTCTGATCTAGGCTTGGCCAGTTACTATTGAATAAACTTGGAACAGACACTTAATATTTCTATGTCTTAGAAATCCTATCTATAAATAATGATACAACACATACCCAGTGAGGTTCCTCTAAGGATGAAATTCCAAACTCAGCTCTGTCCTCACTCCTCTGCTCACATTGTCTTCATTCTCATCTACCTTGTAGCAAGACAGGGAAATTTTCCTGATATCTCTTTACGGAGTATAGCAGAGGACTTGAAAGTGTATCTTCTATCCCCCTCCCCTTTTTTTAAATTGTGTTATGTCAGTCACCATACAGTACATCATTAGTTTTTGATGTAGTGTTCCAAGATTCATTGTTTACGTATGACACCCAGTGCTCCATGCAGTATGTGCCCTCCTTAATACCCACCACCAGGTTCACCCATCCCCCCACTCCCCTCTACTCTAAAACTCTCAGTTTGTTTCTTGGGGTCCACAGTCCCTATCTTCCATCCTTATACCATAACACTAGAAGTACAGATTGTTTACAATGTCTGTAGAGGGCTGTTGAAAATAACTATCCAGGCTACAAATACATTTACTCCTTGACCTATGAAATCCCCCTTCTTGGAATTTATGCTATTTTGTACACCTGACACTAAGGTAACATTATGTCAACTAGGCTTTGATTTTTAGAAATTAATTAATGCTTTTAAATGTGGAAGTGAGGTGAACCATCTTACAAAGGGGCAGGACTATACCATGCGTTGAACAGGTTCATTATCTGGGAAATAGTACAACATCAGGGAACTTTTCCCTGCCAGTTGTTAGGTTTGGTTGGCTATATAGCCTCCGGGTTACGTGATTTACAGGTTTACATTAAAAAGAAGAGGGATGGGAAAGAGAATTGAGTCTCATTGGAGAGATGGACAATAGAATCTCGTTGGTCTCATATCCAACACACACACTCAGCCATTCTTGATACTCTATGGGAAGACAGCACTGTTTACCAGCTTTGGAACTTTGGACAAGTTACTTCATCTCTTCACACTTCCATTTCTTCCCCTAAGCCATTGGAATCATACCTGTTTTTCACAGGTGGCTGGGAGAATTGGAAGTAACAAACATAGAGCCCCTGTGATCGTGCTAGGCACAGAGTTGGCTCACAGTAATTGGTGATGCTGCTGCTTTATGACTATTCTTGATGCTAGAAATACAGATAATGAAGAATAAATGCAAATGTTATTGCCTTCCATGGGACTCTTACTGTATGTTCAAACCTACAAGTCCCTTTTTATATAGTGCATTTTATTTAAATGAGGTAATTTGCCTCAAAAGCATTTATTAAAAGGCAACTTGACTTGATCCATCAATCATGTTGTAAAACATCCTTTTGAAAACTTTATGCATGTGCAATTAATATCTTTAATCCCCTTTGACCTCCATTCCTTTTGGTTTGAATAGGTAGGCAGGGAAATACCGTATTACCATCCCCACTTCATGGTGGAGTATCCCCACCCAAGAGGTAATCAAAATGAGAGCACCCGTTGAATTTGTCTGGTGTCTGACTCCTATTCTGTTGCACAGAATATGCCAACAGATACTTTGAATTTTTAAGGTGAAAAGCTAGAGCTCACATAAGCCAAGTGAACTGTTGATCTTTACTGAACCACTGAATTGCCTTAAGATTTATGCCTGAGACAGAATGATGAAAATGCCACTGTTGCTATGTCCTGCAGAAAGAAAGAAAGAAAATCAGGGGCAAGTTAGAGCCCCTCTTCTTCTAAGCCCTGAGTTTTTAACCTTTCTCTGAAGCCAACCACAAGACCTAGTTGAGTAACTGCTTTGTTTTCATGCATCCACTTAGAAATGCAAGAAACCCAAATCTCTGCTAATAGGTAAGTGTAGTAAAACTAAATACATAATAATGGTAATAAATTCAATGTACATTCCCAGGGGAAAGGCTCAGTGTTAAGTGGTTCACTTGCAACTCTCATGAGTCATCCGATACATAGTTCCCTGGGAGAGTAGTGAAAGAAAGTTTATCAATACTTCTCAGAAACCGAAAGGATATTATGCATTGTGAGTGGATAGGTAGGAATGACCATGGACTGGAAAATCGATGATGGCTCGATTGTATCATGTAACAACTGGTATGTCAGCTGCTGCTTTTATTTTAAAGGCTATGTAGCCAAAGGATTTCTGGACATCCCCGGTTAATCTCATGTTTTAGAAGGCAGCATGAAACACCGATTTCGGATATTCTTAGTTCTGAAATACTGTCCTCAGGCCAGTACACACACTGTCATCTTAAAAAGCAAGGAATCTAAATTAATTGTTGCAATACTTATCTGTCGGAAGAGCATGGTGAGTCCTCATTTAATTGCAGGGAAATATAAATGGAATCAAACTTAGTGATAACTCTGGTCAAGTTCAGGAATGATCAGCTTAGACATTTAAAACTTTGGGAAGGGAGGCACCTGGGTGACTCAGTGGGTTAAGCCTCTGCCTCTGCCTCTGATCTCAGGCTCCTGGGATCAAGTCTGGCATTGGGCTTTCTGCTCAGTGGAGAACCTGCTTCCCCCTTTCTCTGCCTACTGCTCTGCCTACTAGTGATTTCTCTCTCTGTGTCAAATAAAAAAATAAATTCTTAAAATATAAAAAAAAATGAAACTTTGGGAAGGAAAAACATTTAATCAGTCTAAATTTATAATTGGGAAAATAGGATCCAAATCCACCTTTGAAGTCTATATACCTTATATGCATTCTCATAACCTTCAAACTCTTATTATAAAATTATTACTTTTTTTTACAATTCTCTGATTTCTAGTAAATATACCAATTTGTGCAAAAATCATATAAGGTTATTTTTCATAGAACTTTATTCTTGGGTTATTTGGGAGAAAAATCACTTATTAAAGTCTTGTTAGTGGTGAGAACACACCTTACTGGTTTTCAGGTTTTTTATTGCAAAAGTGATGCTTAATAGTTAAAAATATGTAATCTAGAAGAAGAGATCCCAGCTTCAAATCTCATTAGCCACTGGCTATTCCATGTTGAGTACCATAAGTGCCCAACTGTTAGGGCCGTTGTGATTCTTAATGACTTAAGACACATAAAGTTCTTAGAACACTACCTGGCCTATAGTATGTGCTTTGTGATTCTTTGGTCTTAGTATTTTTATTTCCCTGATGAGGAAAATAAAACAGAGAAAAATGACCTGAGGTCACATTAATCCAGTGTCACATTAATCCAATGTCACAGATCTAATGAGACCTAGGATAGGCTGAACAAGATTTACCTCCTAGCAGTTCCTTCAGAATATGGCTACTGAAAAAATCCAAATTTTTAAATAAAAATGCATATTTTAGATGTCCTTCCCTAAGTATGCTTGAAGCCTCTTGACTCTATAACTGTAAACCAGTTAGTATTACTTTTTTTTAAAGATTTTATTTATTTATTTGACAAAGATCACAAGTAGGCAGAGAGGCAGACAGTGAGGAAGGGAAGCAGGGTCCTCACCGAGCAGAGAGCCTGATGGGGGGCTCGATCCCAGGACGCTGGGATCATGATCCGAGCCAAAGGCAGAGGCTTTTACCCACTGAGCCACCCAGGCACCCCAAGTATTACGAAAAAAAAAAAAAGCTACATGTTATTCTTGGGGTTCCTGGGTGGCTCAGTCGGAGAAGCATCTGCCTTGGGCTCAGGTCATGATCTTGGGGTCCTGAGATGGAGCCCTGCCTCTGGCTTCCCTGCTCAGTGGGGAGTCTGCTTCTCCCTCTCTCTCTGACCTTCCCTCTCCCCACCCACGCTGGTGCTCTCTCTCTCTCCCCTCTCCTCTCCCTCTCTCTTTCTAATAAATTCATAAAAATCTTAAAAAAATATATATGTTATTTTTAACAAATCACCCTTATATTTCACTTACTTAACATGTATACTGAGCATCTACTACTTATCATTGGATAATGATACATTAAGGATACATTAAGGAATACAGAAAGAATACGTGCTTCCTGTTTTAATGTAGCTTGCTCAGTTGTACTGCATCAAACCACTGTCGTTAGTGATGACATACCAGGATCGACTCCCCAAGACCGATGTGTGACCAAGAACCCACTTTCCAGCACAAATGGCCTTTTCTTGCAAATGTAAAGGAAAAAAAGAGGTCCCATTGTTAATATTTATGATTTAGTCAAGGTCCGTGTTCACGGAGCAGTCCTGTAAAACCACTGACATGCTGTTTATGTTCACGAAGGAGAAAGCAATTGGTCACCACTCTAGACATATCTTCATTTTAGTATTTTACTTAAAACTAGTAACTTGAACAAGATATGCTTCCAAAGAAGTTATTTTATTTCTGCCAGTCTTTAGCATTATTTTATAATTTGTACCAAAAATAAAGCTAACTAATATCTTCCTGAAGATACTGAAATAGTATTAGATTATTTATATGATGACAGTGGGTGGTAGTAATGGTGATACTGACATCTCACACTTAACTTTGGACTTTCTATATCTGGATGTTTCACCCTGCAATTTTTAAAAAATCATTTCATGCGGACCTCAAATTAATCATCAGAGGAAGAAATATTTATTAGCATTAACTGAAGAGAAGACTGAAGTCTGTAAGCAACTCAGTTTGGTCAAACATTTCCTAAATAGTCTAAGGTCAAACATTTCATAAATACAAGACCGGGATTCAAATCCAGGTTTATCTGACTCCAAAATCTGTATGCTTGGCCATTCATTGATAATCCCATCCAGTCTCTTCCCTTAGAAGACAACCCTATATAAGACCACGAATAGTAGGTACACAACTTTATTTAGTAAATGATTTTCATGTATATTGTTTCCTCTGTTGGTTTTACTGGTATCAAGTGTTGGGATAATTAAATTTGTACAGGGTGAAAATATTGATTGGCATATCTCATATTTATCATTTTTAAAAGATGATATCTGAGATCGATTATCAAAGATCTTTGGACATGTGGACTCTTACAACCACTTAAGACTGGAAGAACTTCAGATGTTTTCACAGTTCTGAAGACTGCTTTATACTGTGGTCAAATCACAAAAACCTTTTTAATCTATGTTGGCAAACAGAGGAATATTGTTAGACACCTGTGCTGAGAACCATACAGAAATGTTAATATACTTTTCTGTTATTTTCAGGCTTCTCCTATTTGCAAATTTAAATATCAGCACCCAGAAATTTAAGTCATCATTTTATGTAGGGAACACTAGGTATTCACAGTTTCTTTATCATGTGCTTCCATATTTCCAAGTTTGAGCCTTTGTTTCATTCTTCCTAGTCAACATCCCAATATATTAGCTCTTGACCCCAACTTCCATTTTACCATATTTTTGCCTCCATGGTGAGAGGTAAGTATATCCCTGACATTGCGGTATATAGATCCTGTTTCTTGCATTGGCTCTATGCTCATCTTCGCCTGCTGTTAACACTCCTGTTAGGTTTCCAACCACACTTCAAAACTATATAGCACCTTCCCGCTAATTGCACCCAACTTCATCTTATTTTCAATCCCCATTTTTCATTTGCCTCAGTTTCTTAATCTTTTTGTTTTTATCCATTTTATGAATCTCTATATGCCCTCTCAAGTTTTAGAATGACTGTTAGACCTAGTCTTGGAAGAATATGATTGGGTAGTGATTAAATGTACCCATTTCCACTTCTCCCTGTGAAAAAACATACTTAATTTGTATGCATTCCTAAGAAGTGGAAATTGATTGTAGTCCCTGAAATATCTTCTATTTTTAAATCAGTTATTGGTCTTGATTTTTATTAAAGTTAAGTAGGCATATCTTTTCCTAAGAAGTGCTTATTGGAATTTATATTTTAATTTCTTTGGGTTAATAAAAAAAAAAAAATTGAAGCATCAGCTAAGTTACTTTTTCTTTACAGCGTGGAGACGATCAATGATGGAAACTTTCACATTGTGGAGCTACTTGCCCTGGATCAGAGTCTCTCCCTCTCCGTAGATGGAGGGAGTCCCAAAATCATCACCAACTTATCAAAGCAGTCCACTCTGAATTTTGACTCTCCCCTCTATGTAGGAGGTAAGCTTTGTTCCAAATCCAGTAAGTTCCCAAAACCCTATGATTCTCATCATAGACCAATGCTGAAATTGTTGATCCCTGCTGTCATGGCCATCAACCCATATAGTGATCAGTCATTGAAAGATGGACAACAAGGATAGACAAGAAAGAGCCCTGGATGTGTGTTAAGTGACCTGTTTATGTCTGTCTCAGCCTGTCAGTAACCAATGTCATGGTTGGACAGGTTCTTGTGGTTCTTATTGATGAGTGCAAAGTGCCCATCAGCAACAAGCATCAGGAAATTTTGAAGAAAAATTAGAAGTTTATTACTTACAAGACCTGAAAATTACACAGCACACCTGTGGCCACATAGCAAGATCTTAGGGAAAAAGAGAGAAAGTCAGAAGAGTGCATGTGTGAGAGCAAGAACACATGGGCCCAGCTTGCTGCTTTTGTTGTGTCATGCTAGAAAGAAAAAGAAAAAAGCTTCTGTCAGATCTTACCATTCCAGATTGTCTGTGCTACCAGTTGCCAACTCGTAGATGGCTGGATAATTACCAACAAAATCAAATGATGAATGAATGAATGAACAAATGAATTAAATGTACAACTTGTACTGGGATAACAGGAAGTACTTCTGGTTTGCTAAGACCTTAAGGTGAATGAACAAGACAGAGGGCTGGGAAGGTGGACTAGGGTTTGGGAGGATAGAGTGAAGATTCTGGACTTCATATGTAACCAGCCAGAAGGCTGATGAGGAACAGGTGAAGAACAGAGGTATGGGCAAAGTTCTGAAGGAGCCCAGAGGAGAGGACCCATAAAGGAGAGAGCTTTCCTCTGTTGGGGGTGGGGAGGGGAAATATAAATTGGAGATACAGAATTTCAGTCTTCAGGCCAAGGAGCAAGAAAGTATGTGATGTTGAATTGAGTTACATTGAATTAAATCACATTGGATGGAGGTGATTGACTGATAAAATTAACTCATTTTACAGAGAAGTGAACTAAAGTTCCTGTGCAGATCAGTGTAACTGATTCGCTTAGCAGGACAAGCATTTTCACAGCGTTTGCATTAATTTCCTGCAAAATAGTAACGTTGGGATTCTCCATATTTGTTATCCTTTTAAAGACTTCCTTGAAAGCATTTTTGGAATTTCCTGAAAGTCCAGAGCACTTCTGTTTTTTTTTTGTAATTTTCAGCATTAGAAGATCTTAACATTTTGAAAGAATTTTGGATTTTTTAGAAACCATTAAAAATCTTGGTTCAGTTCCATAAAATCTTAGTACCCACCATGTGCTGGGAACGAGGTTAACATAGGTATAAAGGTTACAACGTTGAAAATGAAATATCCCTTCTTTGCCCAGGGGAGTAGGAAAAGCTGACACGTCTTCAAGGAACCATACATAGTGCATTGGAATAAAAATATTGCATACCAAGTCTGCCCAGCAAGTTAACTGATCTCATTGCTTCATGGGAGTCACAACTATGAGATGCACTAAAAAACAGAAGCCTCCATTCTTGCCTGCACTACTGTTATCAACCATTACACCAGGTTGGGTAAATCAAATCGCAGATAGATATAACTGTGGTTTGAGAGAAAAGAAATTATACTCACTGAGCACATGCAGTGTGTCCAACACAATGCTTCTTTGCAGTCTTATTCCTTAGAGACCTTAGGTAGTAGGTATGGTTTTTTGATTCATGATCCATAAGGAACTTTACAAAACGCAAGGACTTTACAAAACGTGTGCAAGTTCACAGAGCCATGAAGTAATAGAGACCTCATTTGAGTCCGGGTCTTGTCCCTCTGACCCCAGAACCATCTATCTGCACCGCCATTCACTTTTTAACATAGAGCAGAAAGGGAAGCGATCTAGGTTTTGTGGCTTTTTGTTTATTTCTGGACTTGTCCTTCACTTGATTTATTATGCTTTCATCAGAAACCATTTCACTGAACCTTTTAAAACCCCTTTCTGATGCAGTGAGGGGGGTGAGAGGACCCTATGAAATGGGGAGTGCTTAGGTCAGAACATTTCTCAAGAAAGGTTTAAAAAAAAAAAGTTTTACATTCCAAATTGAAAAATGCCAGTCTTTCTAAGGATAGAGGGTCTGGAAGAATCCAGATAGTACTTCTATCCATCCAGGCCTGAAGGAAGCCACTTCCTGAAGGAAACCTCGCTGCCAGAGAACATAGTGGGCTCATTTCCATCCAAATCAGAGTGCAGTCTCAAGGGTAATTCAAATAAAAAAAAAAATACAATGTAATCAAAAGACCCCAACGCTGATATGGATGTGGCAAAGGCAGGAGAACCTGACTTAGCAAAGGAGAGGGAGGTAACTAAGCTCATCTTTTTCTCCAAGTTTGAAATCAGGCATGTCTGGAAAAAAAAGACCATCCCTGTGTGGACTTCAAGTCCACATATTTATGATGAATGGATATGATTAAATTAGAACTTATCCCAGAACAAGGAATTTTCTTTCACTTGGGCTTTCCTGGAAATGGTACATTTCAGGTTTTTTGAGCCCACTCTAGAAAGCAACTCTGTTCCCAGTGCCAAACAACATAGACTAAAAGTCTGAGGTCATGGAAGTTCAAAGCCAAGACCCATAATTCAGTACTTGTCGACGTGTGACACGGGAGCACTTGCATCAAAATCAACCTAGCTGCGTGTTAACATTTAGAGTCCTGCACCCCACTTCTTCCTACCAGTTAGAATGTCGAGGTGGGAAGAGAATGGGGCCTGGAGAGCCACCTTCTAAACATGGACCTTTGGTGGACCTTATGTGTGACAGACTCAGAAACAGCAGTTCCTGTCCATCCCCTCATGTCACAGATGAGAAGACTCGGCCCCACCATGGTTGGAAATAACTGGCTCATGCGTACACAGACCAACAATAAAGACTTTGACCTTGAGCCTGCCTGGTGGTTTTGTACATCTATCTGTCTGACATTGGTGATGTTGGTGACATTGGCTAGAACCCAAACAGGACTTCTTTGCATAGAGAAGGTGATGCTGCTACAAGGCAGGTCCCGGCCATTGCTGAGGGTCCAGGTCTTTAGAAACCAATCAGCCCTCTGGAGAGTGAGAAGGAAGTCTTCCCCAGTCTGTACCCTCCAGCCAGTAGCTCAGAGCCCAGGCAGAGTGAGGGTGTGAGTGCCAAGGGGATCATCAGCCACCCTGAAGGCCTCTCGCTCCCTCCCCTTACACCACTGCAATCTGGACGGCTGCCTCAGGTAGGATCCCATCCAGGAACTATTTCAGGGTCTGGCTTAGGCCGTGGAAAGATTCCTTAGTTTTGCCAAATGAAGGTTACCAGATGACTGTCACCAGTGGAACATATATATGCAAAGCCTGCAAATTCTGTTTTGGAGGAATTTCTTTTGTATTTCTGATTTCTTGGCATATGAAGCCTTCACTCTCAATTAGCAAGAAAATAAAAACAATGCGGATGAAGTGCTGATGTGATAGGAAGCAGGGGTGAGTTTCCCAGACGAGGACCAGCACCACTGGGTTCAGGATGTTGGCGGCGATGAGCCGGGTTGGTTGCCAACTTAGAAGTTGGCAAGGCTGGGGTGAAAGGTCACTGTGAGCCCAGCTCTCATCCCCTAAGGCTGGATGGATGGAATGGTGATCCAGAGATTGCGAGGTTCACTCATCAGCTGATCTACAGCATGGTCTTACGGGGTGACACTGAGCATGTCAGACCACCTGTCACTGTGCTTCCTGGAACTCTGGGCTTCCTGGGCGTGTGTTCGGGTTGAAGAGGTGGGTGGAGAGAGGGGGGAGTCCAGATCTTTCCCCAATTCCTGATCTTGCCTTTGGCTACAATAGGTCTGCTTTGAGGTTTTATATGGATGCCTCCGTGTAAGGTTTTATTTGAAACAAATGTTAAAAATTAAGAGGCTGCCAATGAACTTAGTTCTTTATGTTAGCTGTGCATTAGAATTGCCTGGATTATCTCCCAAAATTCAAGTCAAAACAAAGAAGCACCCAACTCTTCTCCCTTCCCCCTCGCCCCATGCTGCCCAGATAACCTGATGAGGTAGGTCTGGGCGGAGGTTCCAATGATCAGTTGTTCTCCAAAGATCTCAGGTGATTCTAACGTGCAGTCAGGTGGAGAACCACAGGCCTGGATGCTGATGATCTGTGGTTGTCCTCAAAGACCCTCACCCTGACTGCCACCTTGCTGGAAGAGCTCAAAGGGTCGAGGGTGGGGGTGGGGGCAAATTGCTGAGGATCCCCCACAAAAAGACCACCCACTGACCCCGTATCCCTCCGCAGGCATGCCCGGCAAGAACAACGTGGCTGCGGCCCTGCGCCAGGCCCCCGGGCAGAACGGCACCAGCTTCCACGGCTGCCTCCGCAACCTTTACATCAACAGCGAGCTGCAGGACTTTCGCAAGGTGCCCATGCAGACCGGCATTCTGCCCGGCTGTGAGCCATGCCACAAGAAGGTGTGCGCCCACGGCACATGCCAGCCCAGCAGCCAGTCAGGCTTCACCTGTGAATGTGAGGAAGGCTGGACTGGGCCCCTGTGTGACCAGAGGACCAATGACCCCTGTCTTGGAAATAAGTAAGTTCGAGCTGCTTGGGGTTACACACAAATACCCCAGCCCTAAAAGCAAAACCTGGGAAGGGAGGGAAGGAGGAAGAGAGGTGGAAGAGAAGGAGACAGGGGGGCGGGGAGAAGAGAGACGGAAGTCAGCCCATTGGTCCATCTCCTTCCTATTCTTTCCATCACCCTTCCAGCATTCTTACCCCTCTACCTAATTCATGTCCGTTCTTGCCTTCCTCCTGCGCTGTAGATGTGTGCACGGCACCTGCTTGCCCATCAATGCATTCTCCTACAGCTGTAAGTGTCTGGAGGGCCATGGGGGCGTCCTCTGTGATGAAGAGGAGGATCTGTTTAACCCCTGCCAGGCGATCAAGTGCAAGCATGGGAAATGCAGGCTCTCGGGACTGGGGCAGCCCTACTGTGAATGCAGCAGTGGATACACTGGGGACAGCTGCGATCGAGGTAAGCCGACCCCTGGGCACCACCCCTTGAAGCAAGAGCTCCCTGCCATCTTTGAAAAGAGAGAAAAAGGGAGACACACACACGTGCACACACACACACACACAGAGGAGTGATATGAGGAATACCAGTCTCTGCATTGCCTGTAGCTGCTGCTGTTGATTGATTCCCCAGCAATAGGAAGGCACGAGATGTGACGTGTCCTCAGCCTCCATGGCAGGAACTCACGTGGCCTTCAGCCATCTTCTCGCTGCTTGGCGGGCTGTGAAAAATACTCCTTTTTACTTTCTGGTGCAGCACATTAACTTTCTTCCCTTCTTACCTTTACCTGCCGTCCTCATCCATTTGTATTATTTCATATCTGACACAGAGAAGAGGCAGCTCATAATTCTGCTCTAGGTTTAGGACAATGTCACCTTTGACCTTGGAATCAACTGATTTATCACAGCACTGTGTGCAGGTGAGAGGGATGGAAACGTGCCGACTTGCTGGCCCACCTTTCTCCTTCTCTGCGTGACCAGACTACGCCTCGCCTCCAGCTGGCAGGCATTTTGTTGCGTGTATCGGAGGGACGAGACAAGAGGAACGTGCCCATGGAAGCGTTTAGCAGATGTCTCTTTTTGAACCAGTTCATACTAGGGTAATTTATGAAGTTAGTGGAATGTTACTTGTATTAAGTAACAGATTGAATGATATTAAACCCCAGGTCTAATAAATTGCATACTCTCTGAAACGGCTCCCTGTGGTAAACAAAACCAGCTGTTAGTAGTGTAAAAACAGAAGATGTGTATTTTTGCAATAAAGGAAAAGATTTAGGAATCCAATTTTCTTGTCAGTCCAATAGCATAGTATTTATAGTCCACATATATAGCATCCACTTTGAAGAAAATAAAGGCAAAAAAAAAAAAAAAAGTATCTTTCAAGGAACAGCAAGCTGCACCACCAGTCCATTATATGGAATATAAGTGGGACCATGACAATAGCGGTTACCCATGGCAGACAAAGGCAGCACCTCTTGGACCGAGTTGTGGATCCACGGTCCCTTTGCAGGACTTATAGGGAATGCCCCGAAAATGCTTGTGCTTCTGTTCTTTTCTAGAAATCTCTTGCCGAGGGGAGCGGATACGAGATTATTACCAAAAGCAGCAGGGCTATGCCGCTTGCCAGACGACCAAGAAGGTGTCCAGGTTGGAATGCAGAGGTGGGTGTGCGGGAGGGCAGTGCTGTGGACCTCTGAGGAGCAAGCGACGGAAATACTCTTTCGAATGCACTGATGGGTCTTCGTTTGTGGACGAGGTCGAGAAGGTGGTGAAGTGTGGCTGTTCCAGGTGTGCCTCCTAAACGCGTCCCTGGCGGCTTGTGTCTTCGGGAGTGTTGTCTACTTCTCGACCACGGTGGACTCATTAATGCTTCATAGTGGAAATATTTGAAATATATTGTAAAATACAAAACAGACTTATTTTTATTATGAGAATAAAGACTTTTTTTTTCTGCATTCGGGAAAAAAAAAATGCTTCATACTAACGCTTCCCAGATGTGAGAGAAGTAGGAAGAGATACCCGGAGGCATGGGCACATGGAGGGGAAGCACTGAGACTCAAATTCATCTTTGCAACATGCTGAAGACAAGCAGAAGCACAGAGACGAGGGAGAGCCAAGCTACTGTGTGCTGCCATGACGTCATCACCCAGCCCCTAACCCCCACCCCCACACTCCCCCCACCTCCCCACCCCTGTGCCCTCATTCCCATCTCTTCGGTTCCCAGTTCCCGAGGACACACCAGGCACCTGTGTGTGGTTGAGGATGCAAGGCGGAGGAGTGGAACGCGAGAATTCACAGAAAACACAGTTGAGAGATATTTGGTGCAAAACAGTGTCTTGAAGACCTGGGTTCTAGTCATGAGAGGGATGGGAGAGCTAACGTAACGTGTATCTTCTTTTTAAACTTCAGCATGTTAACAGAAGAAGCACACAAAAGTGTTTATCTACCGTTTTCCAGTATTAATTTTTTGTAATATAAATGATAAAGGAGATGATAAAGAACCAATAGATTATTGATAAATAAATTAGTAATAATATGAATTTTTGTTTCTATGAGTTCTAAACAGCCCTATACAGTATTCAGTTCCAATGAGAAATATTTATTGTATCAAAAGACATTGTACTTAACATTTTAGGCCATTCTTTTACTGTTTCTCAATGCTTTAATATATATTAATTTATAATTGTCCTGATATTTTTGTATATTTTTCAAACTTAAAAATCAGGATTTGGGGGAGGGGGTTTGGGTTTTTTGTTTGTTTTTTTGTTTTGTTTTTTTGTTTTGTTTTGTTTTTGGCAATAGTACTAACATAGGGTGTTATCTTGGGATAAATATGTGTTGATCGGTTTGTTTACCTTGACATCTGACCACTGGTGTCACTGACCTACTGGCCTCATTCAGGATACCTGCAGAGAGTATGTAAAGTCTGTGTGTGAGACATTCATTGTATAGAAAGAAGGGTCCAGCCCCTCTGCAACTTGTCCTCCCAGAACAGAAATGGTGTGTAGCAATCGACACTAGAAAAGTAGGTATTTTACAAATTAATATTTCCTTGACATTTTTTGCCCTTTTATTGGGGGCGGGGTGGGGAGAGAAAAGACTGTAATGTCAAGAACTGTGATTTTTTTTCCCAAACAATAAAGCTCCTTTATTACCTTAATGTTCCTATGTTAACATGTTTGCTGCTAAATTACAATGTAGAATTGATAATGATTTATAGTGGACTGTGCTCTTCCCTTATTAAAATCCCAGGGTACCCTGTGAAGATGCAGATGTTCCTTTCCAAAAACTTTTTTTTACACAGAAAATTAGATGTACATGTATAATTCAGTGTGTTTTGTCTTTCTCCAGACTAATATCAGTTATACTACTGATGTTTGTAAATTAAACAGATATTTACTTCACTAACAGCTTGGTGATTTTCTTAGAAATTACAAAATATTTATAGCCTACTCCTTAAGAATCTCTTAAAGTGATACAGAATGGAAAGGGAAGAAACCCTGTATTCTGTTGTTGACATACACTGTTTTATGATTAGCATATTATCAGATCAGGGACTTTGGAATGGCCAGATGAAAGAGATGGATAGAAGAACACATCCTTTGCTATGGAACATTACATAGTCAACTAATTTCTTCCAAAAAAATTACAAAGTGAAGTCTAACTAACTACAAATGGTATTTTTGTTTTTGTTCTTCTTTCCCCTCAATTAGAACCAGATGGAAAACAGTGAAAGACAAAGAGTGCCTTTCTCCACAGGCATCGTAGGCAAGGCTTAGAACAGGGAAACAGCATGGGCTACATGGAATATTATTAGTTAAGCACCATGCTGGAATGTCTTCATTTTCTTATAAGAAAATCTTGCACATGTGCACACATACGTGTGCACATAGACATAGGCACAGATGTCCAATCATTTATTCATTTCTGCTTAAGATGTCTATATTTTCATTGTATAAATATTATATGGTCTTTGTAAAACATTTGTTTGTTCCCACTGTTTCATTTTTTCAAGGACTGGGAATCACTCGTTAAAGAAACATCTGCAAAGATAACAGGAGTTCTATCTGTGTTTATAGGTATGTGTTATCTCAGTAACCACTATTTTCGAGGGCTTTTTATATGCCAGGCACTATGACAAGGGCTTTATATGTAATATCTCACTCTTCTCTCACTATAACGTATGGGATTATTGGGCTTCCCTCTGACACAGACAAAGAGCTTGAAGACAGAAGAGCTGAATTCCACCCAGGCCTCTGAGACCACAGGGTCCAGTTTCAGGGGACAAAGGGGGCGGCCTCTACCAAGGGGATGTCCTCTACCAAGGGGACTTTTAGACTCTGGAATCATATTTCCACAGCACAATTATTCTACCAATCATGTCAATTAAAATGGTTGAGATTAGAGATGTTTCTTTTTTTTTTTTTTTTTGAAGGAAAAAATAGTAAAGTCTTAGTAGGTTCCTGACTATATCCTTTCTCCTTCCTGCTTCTAAGGGCATAAAATAGAATTATAATTGCCTGGGATTTGGGCTGAGTTAGCAACTTTCTTAGGGGATCGTTGCCTTGTGATGAGACTGCATTCTGTATAGGAGCCCTTCTTTGAGAAAATCCAATAGCCAAATAATTACCAGCAAATGAGATGAATTAAAGGCACTTACTCATGTTATAAAAAGCTCCTCACTTATAAGGCCTTGACCTTAGGATTCCTTTAAATAAGAAACTAATCTAGAGCATTTCCCAACAGAATTCAATAGGTTATAATGAAAAACATTTTGCCCATTTTGAAATCAAAGCTATTACACACAACAATGGAAGTTTGTAATCTGAAAAGATAAAGTGATTAAACATCCCTCATGTGTTTACTTTAAATTCTCACAGGAGTTGAGGCATCATCAGGGGATTTGACAGATGTTCATTTTCAGATGTGTTCGTTGAATAATAACTATCTCAATCTTTGGAATTTGTGTTCACCATACCTTTCCTGAAATTATTTGTTTTGTTTTAAGATTTTATTCATTTATTTGACAGATAGAGATCACAAGTAGGCAAAGAGGCAGGCAGAGAGAGAGAGGGAAGCAGGCTCCCCACTGAGCAGAGAGCCCGACGTGGGGCTCGATCCCAGGACCCTGGGAACACGACCCGAGCTGAAGGCAGAGGCTTTAACCCACTGAACCACCCAGGCGCCCCCCTGAAATTATTTCTAAGCAATGTTACACTAGCCTCAGTTTTAGAATTGCTCTGAGCATTCTGGGTTGTTTTTTGTTTTTTTGTTTTTTGTTTTGTTTTGTTTTTTTGATGTCTTGCTTTGTTAGCAACAGCTCCTTCTAGAGAAGTGATTGAGGGAAAGGTTGTTGAAATTGATTCAGGACTTACAGACCTTGAGCATTAAGTCCTCTACCCCATAGAGTGACCATTACATCAAAACTAACATTTGTAAAAGGATGTAAGCTATAAAAAGTATGTATAGCTTCATATAAAGCTTTTTATAAAGCAAATAAAACTACATAAAATACATAAGCATTTTCATTCTTTTTTTTTTTTTTTAAAGATTTTATTTATTTGACAGACAGAGATCACAAGTTGGCAGAGAGGCAGGCAGAGAGAGAGGAGGAAGCAGGCTCCCCTCTGAGCAGAGAGCCTGATGTGGGGCTCGATCCCAGGACCCTGAGATCATGACCTGAGCTGAAGGCAGAGGATTTAACCCACTGAGCCACCCAGGTGCCCCAGCATTTTCATTCTTAATCCTCTCTATATACTTAAAAGTCATTTAACAACAAATTTTTATTTTTTATCTCCTATTATGTGCAAGAAATTATGCTAAACTTTCAACATATAGTTCGGTAAACCAGGCATTATTTCTGCCATCTTAGAGCTCATGGCTCTATGCACTTAGAGTTCAGGTTAAAGTGAATAACAAATATTATTATACAAAGGACCAAAAGACATATAATATTAGATTGTAATTTAGTTCTCTGATGGAAATTATGAGGTACTAGATAAAAGCAGAGCAGAGAAATCCAATCAATTACATATTGGGAGGTCAGTGAATGACTCTGTGAGGAAGTGACATTTAAGCCAAGTCATGAAGGATAAAGTAGGATCCAGGACAGAGACTGATGGAATTATGTGAGGGCATCAAAGCTGGGGTCAACACAAAGATCTCAGTCTGTGTCTAAGCCTGAAGAGGGAAGGAACTCCTATGTGGTCAAGGAAATCAAGAAAGTTTGTGTGGCAAGAGCGAGGCATAGGTTTATCTTCTGTGTAACAACACAGGCCATTTTCTGTCTTCATTAACTCACCTTAAATTGTCTGTATTTTTCTTTTGATCATCTGTTTGCAGCGATCTTTCAAAATCACAACAAAAATGGATTCCCATTTTAAAACAGCAAGTAGGTAGTTTTGTATAATCCAGGTCCTCAACTTCCAAATGAAATACCTTTGAAGATACAGGAAATATAAATACTTAAAATAGTACTGAAAATTAAGAATAATATTTCTGGAATCTCCAAGGAATTTTCATGAATTCAAAAGCAGATGAGTCTAGATTGAAAGAAACAACTGCTGGCCAACCTGTGCTTGGAGACTCACGTGTATTCCTTTCTTTGCACACCAAGACCAGAGACTCAGGAAATGAGTCAACTGGAAAATCATCAAAAAATATCTGTGCATTTAGGTGTCACTTTGTGAGTATGTTGGAGGGCTGTGCCTCCAACCAAGGAGGTAGAATCTTCATTTGACTACTAGAATGCTCCAGTTCCCATCAAAAAAACCAAAACAGTGCAAGAAATACTAGAGAAGACCAATTGTGTTGTACCAAATATTGAGAGATGTAGTTTCTGTAAATAGATTATTGTAG